CTTCGGATGCATATGCATATAGTCCACGAAAGCTTATGCTCTAATAAATTTGTTAGTCTCTAAGGTGCCACAAGTACTCCTGTTCTTCTTTTTGCGGATACAGACTAAGACGGCTGCTACTCTGATACATACTGGAAAGAGGCTGGTGCTGCCCCTGAGCCCTGGGCAGGCATAGAATGATGTCACAGGGAACCCAGGATAAATGTTGTCCTGGAGTAATTTAGCCTGGCACTGGGACTTGAAATTTACATTTGGGGACTGTCCCGCTCAATTTGGGATGGGTGGTCACCCTGCTCATAGCTCCAAGTAGTTTCAGTAAATAATGTAAACATCTGCCAGGTTTCAAATTACTGTGTGGTAATTTAGTCTTTGGCGTGATGGTCAGTTTTTCCAGGAATGATGTGCCCCAAACATCATTAAACCAGTTTTACTCTGTGAGGAGTGGAATGTTTTTAATTTATTGGAATATAGAATCGGCTAGAACTTGGTTCTGTGTTGCTGCTTTTCATACTCAAAATATCTCAAAGTAAAGTGCATTGCAAGTATAATTTAAGTTGAATGGGATCCATACAATGAAATAATCTTGTTGTTTGTCTTGAAATTTCTATTATTTATTCATGTCCAGAGCCAGCTCAAACAAATGTGGACCCTTTAGAATAGTCACTGGGATATGTCTACAGTGCAGCTGGGAGTGAGCCTCTGGACTCAGGCTAGTGGAGCTTGAGCTAGTGCACTAAAAATAACATGGACATTGCACCTTGGGCAGCAGCTTCTGCTCTCAAGCCCACCTGATCCCCTAGATCTGAGCTTGGGTGGCTAGCTTGAGTCTCCACGGGAACCACAAAATCCACACTGCTATTTTTACAGTGCTCACTTGAGCCCTGCTAGTGCAAGCTTGTCACCAAGTGCATTGTGTAGACATATCCTTGGGATCCCAGTTTCAGTGTGACCTGCTCCAAACTCTTATGCCATGGCTGCTTGGTGGAGGAGGTGGAGATGTGTCTAGAACTGTTGTTTTTGTGTTGTCAATGGATGCGTCCTGTTAACAGAGGGAAGGAAACCTACAATGTGCCCCAGCGGGGGCTGTGATAAATAGGAAATATTTTGATTCCTCAGGGGACACAAGTTCTCACCAGAGAGCTGTCAGTCAGCACAATGCAGATCATATGGCACACCACTTATCTTGATCTTGAGAGCAGTATGACCAGTAAACTTCATTATTAGTGGGGTCTCCAGTGGCTGCAGGTTTGTCAGCGTTGCCTGATTCAGGCCTGCATATGTCCGTCCTAGATACTCTTGTGAAGCGGATATTTTAATCACTTTGTACTAATTATTTTTATTTAAATTTAGAGTTGAGATCTCCCTTGAAGTAGGAGCTGGATCAGGTGTGGTTTCAACATTTCTGGCTTCCATTGTTGGACCCAGTGCATTGTACATGTAAGTATTATACTACCATTTTTTTAGATTGTTGCAGCTAATAATATAAGAATACTTTGCTCTTACAATATATAGTGCTTTTCATTTCAAAATGTTTTACAGTCACCAACTACGTAGAGAAGTATTATCTCCAGTTTACAAATGGATTTCTAAAGATATTTAGATTCCTATCCCTCATTGATTTCAGTGAGAGGTTAGACCCCTAAATAGCTTAGAAAATCTGGCCCTAAATTACTTGCTCAAGACCACCTATTGGTTTGGTAGTAGAGCCAGGACTAGAGTTCTGAAATTCCTTCTTCCCAGCTTGAGCTCAATCTGTAGTCATGTTGTCTCTACCGTGTTTACTCATAACTTGATCCTGCAAACACTTGTCTAACTTTACTCATGTGAGTTGTTCTGTTGAGCTGAGTGAAAATACTCACATGTGTAACATTAGCACAAGAGTTTGCAGTGCTGGGCCTCACTGAGTAACTGTTATGCAGTGCCATAGTTGGAAAGGCAGTCTCATTTATAAACACTTGTTTTCACAGACAAAATCATTTTAGGCTGAATTTCTAATGTCTGTTCTGAGCCCAAATTTTGTTTAAAAGTCTGGTAAAATTCTCTTGGCCTTCTATGAGTTATCTGAGCACAAAATGTAGAAAACTTTGATATTATAGTATGTTGCATTGCTTGAGAAATAGTATGTGATAATTTAATTCAAGACAATTGTAATGCATCCACAGATGAGGACAAAGTTATAGTTATGTCTGAGCATGCAACCTTAACTTTAGCATTTCCTTAACTTTTGAGTACTTAGGCAACCTTAAAGTTTTCTTAGCATAGTGTTATTGTATGAAATTTCATACGTGTTATAGTCACAGTATGAGTAACAAGAATTGTATGTTCTTTTCAAAGCTTGGATGATTATTTAGTAAGGCTATGTGTACACTGCAAGATAGGGGTGAAAACAGTGGGTATGTATTCAGCATAGGTCAGCCATACCTCTGCTGCTGCTACCGCAGTTATGCTGCTATTTATACTTGTGCTAACTGGATGAGAGCTAGCGTGAGTATGTGTGCGTGAGCAGGGGAATCACATTCATTCATACACAAGACTTGACGTCACACCACATAATAGCATTCACATTCTTACGTTCATTTTTTAATTATATCTTGTAATGTTGATGTGACATTAATGTTTTGCTTTCAGATGTACAGATATCAACCCTATAGCAGCTTCTTGTACCTTGGAGACAGCTGTACTTAACAAAGTTCACATTCACCCAGTAATTACTGACTTGGTAAGATACAAGTTCCTATAACTGGACCTTCTGATAATTTTGCAATTCTTACAATGTACAGTGGGAGGTTTGCCTGTAATCGTTCAGATACTGTCCCTTCACGCTGAAAGAAAGACAAGGGGCAATGGATGTGTTTTAATTAGGCCACAGTTTTCTTGAGTTAACATATCTGGGATTACCCAACAATAAATTGTACAGCAGGTCATCATTATTTCCTTAATTGTTTCCTCCTACTCAGAGGGCTGCTGTCAGCCCTCCCCCTTTCTCAACCTGGTCCTAGCTAGCCTGTTGCTGGGATCCCACTACCCTCCCCTCATATGAGAGGTTAAGGGGGGGTGGAAAACAGGGAATGGATTAGCTCATGTTAGGAGCCCCAGCCTTCCTTCCCCAGTTACCTTATGGGATGCTTTCCTCTAAATCCACTTCCAAATCCATTTAATCCGAGAACCGTATTCCCTCTGTAACGAGCACTGGGCACATCTGTTACTAAGTGGTGACATTTTGACTTAACTTCCTCGCCTACCCCACTGGGTCCCTTATCTGCTGTGGAGAAGATGAAGAAACCTGCCCCACCTCGTCCAATCTGGTGGTGAGGAGAAAATTCCTTTCCAGCTCCAGAAGAAGAAGTTGAGTAGAGTCATGCTCACAGCAGATCATGAAGAAACTAAGTCTTACTTGGATCCCATCACTGGGAGGGTGGGTGTTGCCAGCCTGATTGCAGTGAGAGTATGTTTCTCTGGAACTGTTCAGGGTATAGTTGCCCCCAGGCACATGAAAGGACAGTGTCCCCCTTCTAACCTGGTCCAGCCATTTCCTGTTGTTCCCTGCTCTGTCCTGGTAAATTTCCCCTTCCTTCCCACTCTGCCACCCTGTTGCAAAGGGGGCCCAAATAGGGACAACAATCCTTCCAGCCAGCCAGCCTAAGAACCCAGCGCACTCAGGTGCAATTTACTGCCATATGTTAGTAAGGTACAACAGTCCTTTATGCCACAATATATAAGTATTTGTTTTATTAAATTTGTAAAGTACTCTGATGGATGGCAGTAGCTTAGACTCTGTTGCAAGCTTACAGAAAGCTAAGTAAAAACTAATCACGGCACCCACTGTTCTCTCAAAAACTCATGCAAAAAAAAACAAAACAAAAAACAAATAGGCTGATGAAAAGAGGGGGACAAAACAGCTGATAAGGGATCAAACTGAATCTGAAAAGAAAATATACTTCAAATGAGACTCTAAATCAGTACAAATATAGAGCAAATACTATATAATCGGAATGGATTTGAAACTGTGAACACCTGGAGTTTTCTTATTAATGTTGTACCCATGACAGTAATGCTCTGTCAATGCACAAGTTTAAATGTTTTATTGTTATAATTCTGTTTGCTAATGATTTAAAAAACAAACTTCCAAGCGGTGCCTTATGGGAAACTAAATTTTCATCTTTTCCTCAGTAAGCTCTTTTAATTTGTAAAAAATCTTGAGAATTTAAATTTAATGAAAGGTGACAGATTGCCAATAATTAGAAACAGCTGAAATAAATGAACACTTCTTCATTTGGGAATTGGACCGTACTGAGAGACCTATATGAAGTAGTTGATGGATAGCTAACAGATGATAAACTTTTAATCACTTCTGAACTGGGATGGATATGAATCTGTAAGCTAGCTCTTTTAATTAGTATAGGTTTTTCTTTCATCCTCTTACTATTCTGTATCTCTAGTTCATGTTTTGGGACCCTGTTGTGTATTTTTTTGCAATAAACTTATATTTTTACTTGTCCCATTCTGTGGGCTGCCCTTGCACACTGAAGACAGGTTTAGTGCACTTGGACCAGGCATAGAGGCTGAGCTATTCAGAACCAAAGAGGACAATTTAATGCATTGCTGTGAATGGAAGGTGAAACAGGAATGGTCCCAACTCTACTTATTTTAGTTTATAAAAACATGAAATAATCTAACCCTTCCTATGAGGAATCACTTGCGGTATAGTCATCCTAGAGGAAGGGATGCTTGATTTGATAGAGAAATAATCTAGTTCCCTTATTGAGATAAGTTACTCAACCTTGTAATTTACCCACTTATGAAACGGATTATTATCTCACAATCAGGACGTTTTTATTATTATCTACTGAGGGATAGCTCAGTGGTTTGAGTATTGGTCTACTAAACCCAGGGTTGTGCGTTCAATCCCTGAGGGGGCCATTTAGGGAACTGGGGTAAAAATCGGTCTGGAGATTGGTCCTGCTTTGAGCAGGGGGTTGGACTAGATCTCCTAAGGTCCCTTCCAACTCTGATATTCTATGATTCCCAAATAAAGCATCTGTAATTAGCATGTATTTAAAACATTTTGCTTAGTAAGGGTCCTTGAAATGTACTTTTTCATATTGTCCATTATTGACTTTTGGTTTTGGTAACTAAAAAGATAAGAAAAATAGATGGTGGCAACATGGTCATCTTTTGGTTGGCTGGCTAAATTTATGGGAAATTGCACAGATTTGTGTTTTACTAAATGTTTACCTTGTACTCCTGTCATACAGAAAATAACAAAGAAGTATCTTAGTTAACAGTCTGTTTTGGCTTACGTCATTTTAAATATGTCAGGTTTCCATAGCTAAGTACAGGACACTTTCTATATCTCAATAGTAGCAGCTGTGTTAGTCTGTATCCGCAAAAAGAACAGGAGTACTGGTGGCACCTTAGAGACTAAGAAATTTATTTGAGCAAAACTCACGAAAGCTTATGCTCAAATAAATTTGTTAGTCTCTAAGGTGCCACAAGTACTCCTGTTCTTTATATCTCAATAGTGAGATAGTTTGTAAACCTATTAATTTTCTTCCTGTCTTGATAATGATTGATTATATTCAAAGCTTAATCTCTCATTTTAGTCCCATATATGACAAATCTGCAGTCTCTCAATACCTATTGTATAATGAGAAGTGGAAATGTGCGTTCCTGCTGTAAATAAAAAATGTAGCTAATAAAAGAACTGCCTAAGTAAAACTAACTTGTTTCCTACCTCAATTTCATCTCTAGGTCACGGGATTGTTACCAAGATTAAGTGGGAAAGTTGATCTACTACTATTTAATCCACCGTATGTGGTAACCCCTTCTGAAGAGGTAGGGATCACTGAGATTTGAGGAGATGCACTTTAAAAAAAAAAAGTATGCAGCTCAGTGGATATGAAAAATTATTAATTTCTGATATGATAAATTGGTTGGTAATGTCCAGTTGTCAGACTACTGTGTCCTGAATTGCAGTTCTTTGAAAAAGTAGTGAGGGGTCATGTGAAGCCAATGGTGATAACAGAACTGTTTGCAGTAAATATGAATCACTCACCTTACTGCACTTTCTGCATAAGAGATAAAGGACACTAGTGACCACTGTTCCACAAAATATTGCTCCATCCTTGCCGGGGCAATTCTGTAAATCCATGTCTACACAGGGATACTTAGGAATCACTAAAGGTATGAAGTCAGGGCGCATAAATTAAAGAATGCTTAATCCCCCATGTTAATGCTCTTATTCAGGAGTAAAGTGGTTTTAGTTCTCTACCTTTGATTAAGGGTTTGTCTACACTTAAGATACTGCAGTGGGGTAGCTGCACTGATGCAGGTGCACTGCTGTAGCACTTCAGTGAAGATGCTACCTACACCAATAGGAGGGCTTCTCCCATTGGCATAGGTACCCCAAGAGGCGGTAGCTATGTCAACAGGAGAAGCACTCCCATCGACATAATGCTGTCTATCCCGGGGGTTAGGTCAGTATAACTACATCGCTCAGGTGTGTGGATTTTCCACGACCCTTGAACGATGTAGTTATACTGACATAAATTGCTAGTGTAGACAAAGTTACAATGAACTAATTCCACTTCATTCCTGTATGAGAGATCCACTTAGAGGTTTAATCATGCTTTAAATTATGTGCATTGACTTTACACCTTTAGTTGATTTGCCTTAGCTTTCCTGATTATCTGCATGTAGACAAGCCCTAAGAGATTTTCCTTTAGATCTGTCAGATATTTCCCATTGGAATGGTTTTCTGGTGGAAAATGCCTTTTTCACAAAATCAGAATTTTCAGGGATGAGTGTCTTGGCTCTCCCCTCCTATGGCAGCCTGCCCAAAGGCTCTTTCTGCCTGCAGGGAGAAACAGAAATTGACCAGAGCCATCCAGATGGGCAGTTGGCAAGCTGAAAAATTCTGTTTTAGTTCTCCCAAAATGGAATTTTTCAGAATTTCTGGCTTGTGAAAAATCTTGAGCTGTTTACTTTTTTGTCCAAAATTGGGACTAAATTTTTCCAAAACCTCAACATTTTCTATGGGACAGAAATTCCTTTTTCTGGGCTGCTCTAATTTTTGTCTTTCATTTGTATTCTTCAGGACTCTCGAGGCATGTCTACACTGCAGTAAAACATGAACAGGTGGCCCATGTCAGCTGACTTGGGTCGCAGGGCTCAAGCTGCCAGGCTGTAAAGTGGAGTGGATAAAGCCGAGAAGGGGGAGGTTCCAAGAGCCCAGGCTCCCGCCTGAATCCAAACATCTACACTGCAGTTTTATAGCCCTGCATCCTGAGCCCCCCGAGCCCAAGCCAGCGGACATGGGCCAGCCGCAAGTGTTTTATTGCAATGTAGACATAGCCTTGGTGGAATTTATGTGAATACTTTCCGTATGTATCTAGAGGAAAGTATATGCTTTGAATGTCTCGAGGTCCCTTCCAGTCCTATAATCTATGATAATCTATGAATGTTACAAAACATTTCCAAACAGCGTCAACAAAGACCTTCTTTAAATCCAAACAGAGCTCATCTATTTGGAGGATAAGTCTGAAATTTGACTTGTGTGCTGCATGAACTAAACTGCCATGTAGCAATTCTACGATTGAAATTATTTTAATTAAATAAGCTGCTTAGGATAGGGACTGTGGTGATGCTCTTCCTAAAGTGTCATGAACATATATAGCACTCTATAGTCGTATGTAAACCATTAGTAAAAAAATTCATCTTCCTTTAATTTCTCCTAGGTAGAAAGCCATGGAATAGAGGCAGCCTGGGCTGGAGGCAAAAATGGCAGAGAAGTAATGGATAGGCTTTTTCCTTTAGTGCCAGACCTGCTTTCAACAGGAGGATTATTCTATTTAGTTACAATTAAAGAGAACAACCCAGGTAATAGAATCCTTCTGTTTGCTAAACTATATGTTACTAATGCGTACATGAAAACTATGAGCACAAGACTAAGGTGCTATAGCTAATCAGACATTGCCACTATTACGCAAGAATGGGAAACTTTGAATTGAGTAATATCTCAGAGAAATGAGATGGCCTGCATGTGGCAGTAGCAAGTCACACTTGGTTAATAACATTTATTAGTGTGGAAGCACTTTGGGCTAGATTCACAGGGAGGACTTGGTTGAGCATTGCAGCACCCAACTTTTAGGCACCCTTCTGCTAAGTTAGATTCATGATCCCAAGTTAGGCAGTCAGGTTCCCAATACAATGCACTGTGAGACTTAGGTGCCTAAAAAAGATTCACAGAAGTCAGTATGCTAAACCAGCCAATAGGAAATGACAAGGAGAGGGGTGTGGGCTAAGCCCTGTCTCTCAAAGGAGTTACGTGCCTAACTCTGGCCTTGATGGAGGCACCTCCCTCTACTTGGAATTCATAGTAGTGAACCCTCTCCTGGAGTTGGGTACCTAAGCCAGGTCATCCCTTTTTGAAGAAAAATCAGGGTAGTGCCTCCTTGCATGCCCAATAATCCAGTGGTTAGAGTATCACCCAGGATGTTGGAGGCACCGGTTCAAATCCCCACTCTGCTGGATTGGGAGCAGGGACTTGAACATGGGTGTCTCACTTCCCAGCTGAGTGCCCTAACCACTGGACTTTAGAGATTCTCTCTTTTTCAATGAATAGTTAACTATTTTATACAAAGTGGAGAGGAGAGGAGGAGAGACTGAGAGAAGCCCACCCCAGACTAGCCCATTGCCCAACAGTTAAGGGACTGATGTGGGAAACCCACATTCAATTCCCTATTCCACTGTAGGCAGAGTGGGGATTTGAACCCAGGTTTCCCACATCCTGTGTGAGTACTCTAACTATTGGGAGAAAAGTGTGTGGAAAGGGCAGCACTGCCTCTTCCTCAACTGTGTCTTGTGCAGGGCCCAATCAAGTAGATGTGCTCTATGGCAGCCTCTGAGCATGAGTACTGGATTATGCTCTGTAGACGAGCTAAGTGAGGGAATGCTTTCTTTGAGAATCCTGCTCCGACTTAGGCATGAGTTAGGTGCCAAGCTGCTTGGTGGTGTCAGGGCTGAGGCAGCTAAGTATGTGCCCACTGGCTGAAATTTAGGCACCTTGGGGACTTCACTAGTGAACACTGAGGTGCCTAGGGACTTTAGGCTACTACAAGGTTAGGTGGCAGCTGAGCCGGGGTATGAGGTTCTAAATTTGTGCTTAGACACTTTACATGACAGCTCCACTTGTGAATCCTACCCTTTCTGGCGGTTTTTACTGTAGGGTTTTCAAATTAATTTGTGTGCTGTATACACATCCTTCTATCAGAGCTTCTGCCTTTATAAAACCTTTCATAAAACCTTCTTTGTTCAAGCCACTACTTACTTAGTATATACAGGAAAAAATACTGTCCATTACAACACTGACCCAAGTAGTATGGGAAATATGGGTTTCATCTGCTAAAGTGAAACACTGAAGTGTAGAATTACTCCAGGGCACTCCCACGTTTGAACATTTTCAGACAGGGCTCAAATATCAGATTTGCAATTGTACTCTGCAGGAATTTTACCAAAAAAACCCCCCCAATTTTTCCCCTACTGTTACTCACACCTTCTTGTCAGCTGTTTGAAATGGGCCATCCTGATTATCACTACAAAAGTTTTTTTTCTCCTGCTGATAATAGCCCACCTTAATTGATTAGTCTCATTATAGCTGGTATAGCAACGCCCATTTTTTCATGTTCTCTGTTTATATATATATATATATATATCTTCCTACTGTATTTTCCACTGCACGCATCCCATGAAGTGGGTTTTAGCCCACGAAAGCTTATGTCCAGATAAATTTGTTAGTCTCTAAGGTGCCACAAGTACTCCTCGTCCTTTTTATTAAGTACTTGAAACCTGAGTATAGTGCTGAAACTTTTTTTAATTGAAGCAGTTAGTTAAGATAGGAATATTAAATCATTATACTATGATTCTAACTAATTTGCAGTTTCAGTATAACTGCACTTAACTCATTTTGGATTTTGTGTTAATATATAGAATATTAAAAGCATACACGCACTTAAACTTTGAGCACACTTTTTAATCTTAAACTTATTTACCCATTCAATTAAGTACTTAGTATATTTTTCAGGGACATTAAAATCCAACATTTCCACTAGTAGAAAGCCAAGTTCATTTGGTTTTGTTGGATGACTGCTTTAAAAATTGTTCTAATCACCTAAAGGAGCATGATGGATATTTTATGAGCCTATGTAACCTTTTGTTTTGTAATTTGCTTTTAGCAAATAAATTAGTTTAAGACAGAATGGGCTTTTTAGGTGGTGATTAACACAAACTGAACTGTAATGCTGTACACTTTTAATTACAGATGAAATTTTGGAAACAATGAAGAAATACGGTTTAAGAGGTACTAGAGTACTTTCTAGACAAGCAGGAAGAGAAACTCTCACAATTCTCAAATTCAGCAAGTCCTGATGACTGCTCTTAAATCTTTAAACATCTTCAGCAATGGAAGTTAAACACAAATGGTGTTACAATGGTCAGGCTATTTTGTGACTATGAACTAGAACAACAGATTTTGAAAAAAAATTATCCTGTCTCCTGACCTTTACAGGAAAATTAGCAAAACTTTCATTGTTCCCTTAACCTGGCCATCAACCCACTGTGATCTGTAATGAGGGAGGGGGCAGTTGTTTCTGGACTTGGTTTTCTATGTAGCATAGTGGAACTGTAGCTGAAATGTAAACTTTAAAATGGACAGTCACACTTTAAAATGAGGAAATTCACTGATATGTATTTTGTTTTATAACTGGAATATTTTTATGTGATCATACATTTAATAATTGTTAACCTTTGTCATTCATTATGGGTTCTCAAAACAGTGTTCTTGCTTTAGTACTTTGTCTTGTCTTATGGTACTTATTCTGTAGAGATATCTGGTTTAAACTAGTACATAAGAAGCCACTGATCTTGAGGTTAGTGGCCTCAGTCTTATATTTTGCATTTGTTGCAGAATCACCAAAAGCCTAGTGCATAGAAACTAATTTTGCTTCCATAGTCGGAACACTCTTGATCTTATCTTGCTACTGTATTATTGCTATGAATATTCCAACAGATGTACCCAATATGGAGTTCTGCTATATGTCATCCAGGGTCTTTAAGCTAAATACTATGGGTTAATAAACCATGTAAAAAGTTCAGTTCAATTCAGTTTAATCAATTTCTACCCTAAAAGAATTTTGTAAGACTTTTTTTAGACTATAAAAAGGAAGGTTTAGTTAAAAAGTATTTTCAGTAGAGCCTAGCTGTTACAGTATAGAAAACTAACAAGTGACAGTTCTTTATGAAGCACGTCCATATATGACTATGGTATGATACCATTCTTATACTAACGCACCATAAAATGTATGGGATGGAGACTTGTATGGTCTGATTATCTCCCTATATTTAAGCTTCTTCATTTTCAGTTTAAACCGATTTTTACGGAAAAATTCCTGGATTTACAAAAAGTATTACTCGTTTTTTTTTCTGATTTTCACCCTATTTTTGTATCATTCAAATATATAAAAAATAACTTGCTTTATTGGAAAATACATAAGGCTATGTATTAGTCAAGAAGATACACACAATAAACAAACAGGGGCACACGCAAGCTCTGAAGTTTGTGTGCATCTGAACGTACTGATGAATCTCACGTCCACCACATACACATTGCAAGCTGTTAGCAGATAACGGTTTAAAGATTTGACACACTAAAATGGGAAGAAAAAAAATCTATATCAGAATACATTTCAGAACACAAGGAAGTATTTGAAAGTTTTTAAAAAAACAAAAACAGGAGAAAAGGATGAAGTTGAGGGTATGCGCTGCAAATGCTGTGGCCCAGTTATTAAAAGTAAATATTTATAGGCTAATAATTCCAAGTCTACAACAGTAAACTGTTTATTTAAATGAAAAATTTTATTGTTTTCTTAAACTCACAGGTGGCATTGTGTTTTGAGTTCTGTTTTAGTTCTGCTGCAAACCACATTGATGAACGAAATTCAAAGCATTAATATACTGAATACTTTTTTCCCCTGACTTTCTGTCCACCACAATAAACCCCATTATTTACCCAGAAAAATTATTAATAGTTTTTTGCGCTGATTTTTCACTTGCTTGTGTTTTTGTGGTAATACTTAGTTGCCAGGAAAAATTAAATAAAATAAAAACTGAAAACAAAGGGCTCTACTTATATTATATATTCAAGAATAGCAAGTTTTCTAGTCAATAATTTCCTTTCTGCTAGCGGAGTCTCCCACAATTCTGAGAAGCATGGGCTATTCCTCTCCTGCCTGCAGTTCAATGCTATAATGCTGCTCTTACTGATCAAGCTCCCATCTCCAGCTTGCACCAAACTATTTATTCCAAATGTGTATAAAAACTCATAGAATGATGAGTAACAACAGTTTCAATGCCAGCCAGTAAACCTATGAACAGTAGGCTAAGTGGTCGACAAACTGTAGATATAAAAATTTAATTTTGTCCCTTTGTTACAAAGCCATCCAGAGAGGGTATAATAATGGGAGACACTACTAGCAGAAATGAAATTATTGGGTAAGAAAGGAAGGGGTAAGGTAGTAGAATGAGAGAGAGAAAGTCCTCCCCCAAAATTAATGATCAAAATGGCAAATTATTTCTGGATCACTGCATATAGTAAAAGAGGCCACCTTATAATGTCTAATCAAGGTTTTAATTGGAGACTATGTTGTTGCTCAGCAGATACCCTGAGTGGAAGCACAGTCTCTCTGTGCGAATGAAGATCCTGTGGAATGTGCCTTGATTCCATCAGGAACAGGTTTACTTGATGCCTTGTATGCCTCTACAATACATAACTTGATCCTTCTAGCTAAAGACAGTTTGGAGACCTGTCGCCCTTTGGACTTTGGGTGAAAGTAGACAAACAAGGGGCCTGATCTTGTTGATTCATAGCACTCAAGATAGATCTTTTGTGCTCTGCAAATATCCAAATTATGCCACAGATTTTCTGTAAGCTGCTGTGGGTTTGGATGGGAGGTCAACCTCCTGTGAGTCATGGGAAGGTAAGTTTACTTTTGGCAAGCAAGGCTCTGGGGTCCTGAACACCACCTCATCATCATGGAACATACACCAATGTTCATTCATGGATAATGCTGCTAACTCCGAGGCTCATCTCAGACATGATAGCAACCAAATACAGGTTCTGATGTATAGGTACAATGGTGTGACCAGTGTCAATGGTTCAAAAGGTTGAGTAGTCAGGGCTTTCAGCACTAGTGGTCGGTCCCATTTAGGAAATATTGGTCTGATTGCAGCTCTGGCCAGTTGACTGCTCGGAGAAATCTGGATACTTGAGGATTGTCTGCCAAGGAACCCAAGGACACTGCGTGTAAGATCCTACTTATGGTTGACACCTGGCGTGCTATGGTGCTGGGCTGGAATCCCTTGTCTATGCTGTCCTGAAGAAAGTCCAGAATAGCTGGGACATCAGGTCCCTGGGGGTTTTGTTGTTTTCCTGACATTACTACCTCCTGTACAGATGGAGGAGTAAGCCTTTAGTATTGAAATCTGTGTGGAGGAGAGGAGTCTCGCAATCACTTTGGTGGGTAGTCCAAACATGATTGTTTCCTTCTCAATAGCCATGCTGTCAGTTGTGAACTGTCTGCATCTGGATAGAGATGAGGACCGTAATGAAGGATATCCGGTCTCTCTGATGAATGCAGTGTGGGGATCCTAATGCCAAGTCTACCAGATCTGAAAACCATGGTCTCCTTGGCCAGTGTGGAGCTAAAACTGTCACCATTGCTTCTGCTCACTTTATATTCTGAATCATCTTTCCAAGTAGTGGGAAGTGGCGGGAATGCGTAAAGCAGGTTATGTAGCCATCTGTAAGAGAGTATCCATCCCCAGCAACCTGGCATTTGCTTCCTTTGGTGAAGTACTTCAACAGCTTTCTGTTTTTGCAACTGGGAAACAGGTCAACTGCTTGGATGCTGCGTTTGTCAGTTCAGATTGAAGTTTTCCTGGTTGAAACAACGTTCTGAGTTGTTGACTGTGCATCTGCTGAGCCAGTCTGCCTCCAGGTTCAATTGTCCCTTTGTGTATATTGCTCTTATGGAAAAGTTTTTTTCTGCCCCTTCCATTATCTACATTGCATATATGAGTAGAATTGAGCTCCAACTTCTCCCTTGGTTGTTAAGATATGCCACAGTGATAATGTCATCTGACTATAGATCAAAATGTAGATGCCCTTGAGGTGGCTCTGAAAACTTTATAGGGCTAGCTTGACATCTCTGAGCTCCTGGAAATTGATGCTCTGATTCCTTTCTATGGAGCTCCAAGTGCCTTGTGCTGTTCTGTGTCCCAGATAGGTATATTGCCATATATTATTATAAGTCCATCTCATAGAACTGGAAGGGACCCCAAAAGGTCATCAAGTCCAGCCCCCTGTCTTCACTAGCAGGACCAAGTACTGATTTTTGCCCCAGATCCCTAAGTGACCCCCTCAAGGATTGAACTCACAACCCTGGGTTTAGCAGGCCAATGCTCAAATCACTGAGCTATCCCTCCTCCTCATTTGGCATGAGTACCCATGGGTCTGGAAGGTACATGAGTAAACTCTTTCAGATGTTCCTTGGGATTACCCACCATCTGAGGGAGTCCAGTACCTGGCTTGGGACCCACACCTGATCCTGCATTCCAGTGAATGGTTCCATACTGCCAGGAGACACCTGATGTGGGATCTTGCCCAAGGAGTAATTATTATGTGTGAAAACAGCAGGCCCAGTATATGCAGATACTGAGCTATAGCTGACCTTGTGTTTCTTATCAACATACTGTATATGTTAGGTTCTGTATTTTCTGGAATCTGTCCACTGATAGGTAGACTTTTGCTATAGAAGTGCCTGTGTCCACTCCCAGTTGAGGTATCCTTGTGGTATTTCATTGATGTTTATCATGAAACTGATCTTAAAGCAGTCTGTGTCTGGATTGTGGTCCTGTGAGTGGCTACTTTGGACAGAGCTTTGATCAAAATGTCATCCAGGAATGGAATCAAGTGAGTGCCCCAAGTCTAGCTATGCCCACCACCAGCACCTTGGTAAAGACAAGGACAAATGGCAGAGTTTTGTGTTGGTAGTAGTCTGTCGTCTTCTTTTTCATCTTTACCTTGTCCCATCAATTGGGGTCAGCAGCTCTTGTTCTTTGCGAGCACTTTTGTCAAGTGCGTTTTCCAACCTGATGCCAGCCTTCCTGTCCTCCTTCAACGTCTCAAACCACGTTTTTCTAGGTCTTCCTTGTGGTCTTTCTCCTGTGACTACGTGGTCTTGTACTCTCTGGCCAACATATCTCAGATCTAGTCTCAAATTACCCAGAGATCTCAGTTGATACTCCCTCAGCTTTTCTGTGATGGGGGCTATCTGAATCATGCCTCATGCTGTTTCATTGCATAGCCTATCAGCTCTCCTTTTACCCAGCATGCAACTGAGCATTCTCATTTTGGCAATGTGAAGTAGTTTTTGCTTCTCTCTGCATTGGCCAACATTCCCACCCATACATCATGGAGAAGGCTGCATGTCAGTCACAGATTCTGTGACTTTCCATGACTTCTGCAGCAGCCAGTGTGGCTGGCTCCAGGGCTGCCTGAGCAGATCAGGCAGCCCCTGGGCCAGCCGCACCAGTGGCTGCTGGGGTAGTTTGGGTGTGGGAGGGAGCTCAGGGCTGGGGTGCGGGGTGGTGCTTACCTCGGGGGGCTCCCCAGAAGTGGCCTGCATGTCTCTGCAGCTCCTAGGTAGACGGGCCAGGGGGCTCTCCGTGCTGCACCCACCGCACAGGTGCTGCCCCCACAGCTCCCATTCGCTGTGGTTCCCGGCCAAGGGGAGATGTGGAGCTGGAGCTCATGGCGGGGGCAGTGTGTGGCGCCCCCCGGCCTTCTCTCCTCGTGGGAGCTGCAGGGACACGCAGAGCCAGGAAGGGAGTCTGGCAGCCCCACCAACCCTCTCCCCCCAGTACTAGTAGGGGTCCTGGGCCACATGCTGCCCACCCCTCTCCTCTCCAGCACCAGCGGGGATCCTGCGCCACCCCCACCCCCCCAGCGCCCCCAGATCACCCTCCCCAGAGCACCCCCGTCCCTCCCGCCCACATTTTAGTTAGGGATATATAGTATGTCATGGACAGGTCAAGGGCTGTGAATTTTTGTTTACTGCTCGTGACCTGTCCATGACTTTTACTAAAAATACCAGTGACTAAAACATATCCTTAATCATGGAGCTCCTAATCGTGATCTTATACACATTGCTATTTCATTTACTTGGCATATTCTGATCAGAGCAAATTGCATCAGCTCCATCCATTTACAGCAAATGCTCTTCATGCAGCTCCTAACATCTGCATCCACATTCCCATCACGGCTCAACACTGAATGGAGGTATTTGAATTGTTGTACAGACTTTCTCTATACCATCTAATTTTACTGGTTTTTCGTTGTTCCTCTCAGAGAAGTATCTCAGAGTATTCCATTTGTTTGTGCCATATGCAAATCTCAGTAGACGGCAATAGCACGTACATATAGCTATGTGTAGATCATCTGCTAGGTCTTCTGAGGCAAGGAAGTTCCGCCAAAGTTAGGGTTTCCATTTGGAATCTTGTTTTCTTCATCTATTTGTTGAGATGTTTGAGGTCCAGGACAGTTCTGAAATCCTCTGCCATGCTCTATATGCTTCTGGATGATGAAGTATATGGAGTATAGCCTTAAGAACCTCTCTTCTCAGGGTACCTTTTACATTGCTCCTAGGGCTAGGAGGTGTGAGATTTCACTTCACACCAGTTCACATTTGATGGTTGCTTGAGATGAGGGATTGGATGAAGAAGGGAAGAGGTGAGGCCCTTAGTTCCAGTGAGCAGCTGCAACACACTACCTCTCTCATATCACCCACTTGTCTGTGTTCGATAGAGACCCCCGAGTTGTGGGGAAATTCTGCTTCCTAGATTCAGATCTGGGCAGAGGCACATTCATTCGTTGTCATACCAAAACCTGAGAGGTGGCTAGCACTTGGTCTGCAGTTCCAGGGTTTTTTCCTGGTGAACTGCTGTCTTTCCCCTGGTATT